AGTTCCCATTTATGCCATTTGGAAGTTGCAGCAGTTTTATAGATTATTATTATTAATTATCAATATCTTGTCTCTGATATGGTGTACTGGTATAATAAGTATCCTAGGTACCCCTTTGGATTTCCCTCTTGGTGTAAGTCATTGTTACAAATTTTGTTAATTTCTTCGTTTCTTCTCTGTCAGTCTCCAGCACCCAGTGTTGTGCAATCAGCAGCCTTTGCCTTGTCCAACCTTGCCAGAGGGAAAGACAGTTATATCAAGTAAGTTCAAGTTTGAAGAAGTCACCAGACTGCTTGCAGTGGAAACACTCTTCTCTTGATTTTAGGAGGTTATACATTGTACTGTCAAGTAAAAATTGGCTGGATCTGAGAAGAATGGCAACAAAAAGGAAAGCCAACTCTAGGAAGAAGTACAGTGGTGATCTTTTTGAGTCCCTTGAAACTAGAAATATAATTGATTGGAAGCTTGGATCGAATGAATAGGTTTACTAGCTTGCTCAACAATGTGTAAATAGTTCTGCTGCCAAAGGACTCAGACTTGAGTCTGATTTTTTTGCACCCAGGCCTATATGAACATTTCCAGCATTTCTTCCTTGTTCCAGTTCTCAGACTCTATGCCATGATCAGACAGTCACACTGTGTAGTTTTTCTTCTACACCAAGTGAAATTGAGTGTATTTGATTGGAGCGGAGAGTGAGGAAAGCTTAATGAATGGATGCAGGAATGGGTTCAGTCCTACTCTGTACATGCTCAGCAGAGTAAAGTGACACACAGGCCTTGTCCTACAGTTGCACCTCTATGATCTGTCATATCCTTAGCTAACTCAAGGATTACCATGTACATGTACATAAAATAACATGTACTGTACATGTATAAAGTGTCAGCACAGCCCAAGGCTGTGCATGTACATTTGTACAGTATTAGTGCATGGACCTGTACATGTACATGTACATGAACACTGGAAGGGTGTGTGTACATGTACAAAGACTGTTGAGGAGCCATCATTGTGTACTCACTGTACAAAGAACACAGGAAATCAATTCTTCTGTTCTGTGTATAGTGTTGTGTGCACTGTGTCCTAGCTCTCCTGAGTGTGTGGGCTTGATATGTAAATGGTCCGTGATGTGTGAGGCACCACTCCATGTGTGACGTGCATGTATGCCTTGCTTGCGGGTCATGTAAATATTCATGATTTGAGATTATGGGCAGTGCTTAGAGGTCAATGCAACAAGCCAGGCAGGCAAATGCCTCAATTGTCAGGGCCATTTTTGCCCGTTTGGACTGAAATTGTGTAATCAAATTTTCACCTAAATATATAAACCTAAAGGGAAATAATTACCAACGTATGGGGCGATTTCCAAGACTAATCGGTTGTATGTAACCTGTATATTTTTCCCTCATAAGACATGGCCAACTGTGCCAGTCCAGGAACCCTCATCTATTCTGTTGGATATATGACTTTGTCTGGCATCGCTTCTCGGCCTTTTGGCTAAGATCATGTGTAGTATCTGTTCTTTTCAGCTTAATATCTGAAACGCTGCTCATTGAGCAGTCAGTATATTAAACTGATTTTTGGATCTGGGCCATGGAATAGGGGCTTGCCTCGTCCTGGCCACGGGTTGGCCCGGTATTGCACTACATCCAGGATTCGGCCCACTCCCCTTCTTAGGGGAAATATTAAAGCTAAAAATAGATATGATGTACATTTGATATTTATTGTCAATCAATGCTCTCTGGAACGTCCGTCTATCTAGACAAATCGCTATAAACAGGTTACTTCTCCAAACCTCAATTTATACTACAATACAATTTTAAAGTGCCCTATGATTGGCAATAACCGCGTAGATTTATGTTTTGAAGAGACATGTTGAGAACTTTCACGGAAAGCACCTTTTGAAGGAATGAAATTCACCAAATTGGCCCTGGATCGACAAACGACTCATTTTGCTCGATCACATCCCAAATGTTTTGCACCAAAGGGATGTCACTGTGTAAAAATGCCCCCATCTTTTCCTTCTCAGGAGCAAAGAGCAGGTTCTTCTTGAGTACCCCACTAATGATATTACATATGTATCTATGTGTAGGACCCTGATGGAGGGGGGTGTTGCACAGCCATTGATACAGTTGCTACACCTCGATAGAGACCAGGGTACCATGTCAGAAGCGGCCTGGACACTCACCTACCTCACAGCAGGGTCAGTTTTGCCACCCATCGATTACAAGTTTTTTTGCCCTCAAAAGGAAGTCTTTGCTGCTGTGCAGGATTTTCCAAGTCCGTGCTTAATTGAGCAAAGATTGAAGTCACAAATGGTAGTGCTTTTTCAGGGAAGACTTTTTTCCCCATGGAATAAATGTGGATCCTTTTCAACTCAGTCTTGCAAGGGGAAAGGGGCTCATGAGAAACTTCAGGGCATTCAGGTCAAGAGCCCAATATTTTACAGAAGACATCACTGCTCAGTGATAAAAAAAAACACCTTAAAATGTTTAGTCAAATCCAGCGTGGCCCAACCTCACAGACAGGGACAACTCAAGGAATTTCCATTTTGTTGCAGTCTCAGCTGTGTTTGATGCCTACTTTCCAGGGAGTTTTGAATGGCATTTTCTGTTAATAATGACAATTTTTTTGTCACTGCTGCGTGTGTCGTCATGCTTGCTAAAAAACAGCTTACAGGCATCCCTGGGAAATGGTTTGTTTCATTGGTACAGCACAGATGGAATTTAAAAAAAAAAAAAATATCATCAGGAGTAAACTGAATAAAAGAATCATGTAGGTACATAGTTTTACCATTTTTGCTTGGTTTTTGAAAATGTCAATTTTGTTTTTGTGGTTGCAGGGGTGAGTATGAGCAGACCTTTGTATCACTAGGACTCATCCCACGAGTGGTCGCAGCTTTGGACAAACTGTCCAATCAGACACCTCACGACTCAGTGGTAGGTCATACATGGGCAACATGGCAGAATGGTCTGGGCTTTTTGCAGATCCTTTGGAGGCCAGGGGGTATCAAGTTTTGTTTTGTAGCAGTTCAGGTCTCATTTGTTTGGAATGTTGATCAGACACGCATTCAGTATAGGATTAAAATGTTTGTGTGTCCAGTATAGAAAGGGTCAGTTGATCGGTCAGATGTTTTACAGAAATGATAATAGGTGTATGTAGCTGATCTAACCCTAAAAGATCCGGGTTGTTTTGGCCTCTCTCACAGTGGGTGGGGCAGATTTGCCCCCCCCCAGAACTCGGCCGTGCCATGCTTGAGTTTTTAAAACCTTAGCAGGCATGTAAAGACACTCCTTATCGTTACAAATGTGAAGTTTGAAGTCAATCGCATGAATTACTTTGTTGTTTCGGTCACTTGCAGTTCAAGGCTAAATGTGTGTCAGCCCACATGCAGTGAGTACTACAGTTGAAAAAGTATACAGTTTTTTGCTGACCTGCCTTAGAAAAATTGGTGCTGCGCAAGAATGGTAGTTTAAATTTTCCACAAAAGTGGTGTCAAAATGACTTCAAAGATTTACTCTAAAACTCCCAAAGGCTCAACTCCTGAAGAAATGCACTGCATAGACATTAAAACAAAAATGGGAGGGGGGGGCAGATTCTGCACCCCCGGCTCTTTTAGGGTTAAATGGCAGCAGTGTGCTGTAAGGACAGCTTTGGTAAATCATCACGTCAGATTATTTACTCCTGAATAAACCAGATGGCTTCTTAATGCCAGCACAAAGACTCATTCATTTCAATGATTCACTCTTGAAAAATTATTTTCCCTAAGGTGGTCACACCACTGGTCAGGTGCCTTGGCAACATCTGTAGTGGTCCCGAGGAGCTGATTGCCATGGCGACCGCTGATGGGAGTCTCCTCCCATCCATTAGCCGCCTGCTCCAGTCAGATCATCGGCACATCAAGAAGGAAACGTTATGGGCACTCAGCAACATGACAGGTGGGGAATAACATTGGCCAAGTAGTACATTCAAGGAAAAATTTGCTAATATGCCAATGAAGGGAAAAGACGATTCTTAGTCATTCATATACCTTTTGTGGAGAAGTTTACGGAGTACCTAACTCCAAGACCAGACTTCGATTTTCTTCATTTCAGGGATGTAATTTCTCCCGCAGTAGTCTGATGTCAGGATTTTTTTCTCCGAGATTTGTATGACACTGATATTTGCACCGTACCTATGCATAATTTGTGTAACAGGTGTGCCGTACTTATGCATAATTTGATCTGGATACCTGAAATTTCAGTCAGAAATGTCTGAGCCCATGTGCATCACTGTTTGCTGTTTCAAGGCTGAGTGTGACCCGTCAGTAAATTTTTGATTTTCTCTCCTGTTTATTTCCAGAGGTTGCCAGTGTCTGTCAGCAGTTGGTTAGTCTTGGTATGCTCCCCAGTATCGTCTCGTGCCTTGAAAATACTTATGACATCAAGAGGGAAGTGAGTCCCGGTGGAGTTGTCATCTTTGCCTCTTCTTATTTCCTTGTCTCTTTTTCATTTCCCTCCTTGTTTTTCTGACATCAGTGTTGTAGTTCAGATCTGTTAAGACCATCATAAGACCCAAACAGACTATCACGAGACCATCAAAAGAACTCCAGTCTTTAAGTCACAAGCTGTTCAGTTGAACTGCTGCAGCAGTACATGTACTCCTTTTTTCGTCGTTCACCATGTTACGTGTCACTGATCTTGTCTCTGGTCTTGTGATGGTCTTGAATACAACACCAATGTCCTTTATATTATTATAATCCTTAAAGTCATATGAAGTCATTAGTGTCATCAAATGGCAAATTATATTTTACTATTTCCAACAGGAATACCTTTGTTTTGTCATTGGTAACTTGACATAAATAGACTTACAACAGAACGTTGCTTATTTCTGAACTTGTGAGTAATAAATTCGAAAAGGTCATTTGATTTTATTACCAAGCCGTTAAGTCATCTGTAACTTGCCTTCATGTGAGTTGAAGTACATTTTGTGCACTGAAATGTGATAGACTGATAGATTATGAAGTTTCATTCCGACACTTGTATGTAAATTACCGTCCACCCAGGCTGTGGTGTGTCTATGCAATCTAGCCTACCAAGGAGCCGCATTCTGTCAGAAGTTGCTGCATTATGGAGCATTCCCCGGTGTCATCAGCATGCTCAAGAATCAAGACCTTGATGCCATAGGTCTCGCCTTGGGTTTCTCAGATATGATCTTGAAAAGTGACAGTAATGTGAGTTGGCGTGTATGTATCTTTCTTGGGCCCATGAAAAAGAAATGAGCAAAAAACAGTCCTCGTCTTTGTTGATTTTCAAACCCTTTTGCCCAAATTTAGATAGAAATATGTTGGTGACTTCATGCTGTCTGTTCTGAGAGTGTTCACAGAGGGTTTCAGGATTTTTTAGGTGTTACTCAAACTCATTTGTTTCTTTTTTAAGAAGGTTTCTTAACAGCAATTTCTAGAATAGTATGATGCATTTTCATCTCTGTTAGAGCTCTTTGTGTCGGCCAACTTGAAATGATCAATAAAAGCCTGTCACACTTCTTGATAAGTTGTATTTGCAATGCGATATTTCCAGGCCAAGCACCTCTTTGAGGAAAGTGGAGGACTGACGCTGCTGGAACCCTTGGAGTACCACAACAACCCTGAGATACAGAGGCAGGTGGCCGAGTTTCTGGAGGTTTATTTCTACCAAGACGAGGAGGATACGTGAGCGTCAGGTCAAGGGACAAGTTGCATCTGCATAAGAGTATTTTGATGGTGTAATTATTGTCGGTTGATGACATGGTTAATATTGTTCTAATCTCGTAGTTTTGGGGAACCAGTATACGTGTGTGGACAGTTGCCATTGGGACCAAACACGTTTTGTGTGGAGACAAGTCCCACAGTTTGGTCCAGTTCTCCCAGACAGTAAAATTCTTTCTCTCATATGTCTCCAGGCAGGGTAGATGTACTGTGCTACTGAATCTAAACTCAAGGGTTCTGAACGTGTACCAGAAATTCTACACGTGAATAGTTTAGAGAGCTGTCTCTGCATCTCTAGTGCTCAAAAGATGTTCAGTTTGTGAAGAGGACGGGTAGGTGTTACCTTCCACCCATGATGTCGACACGTTCAGTATTTCCCTATTTCTTTAGCTTAATATTTTTTTGCACAATAGCATGCAGTGCTTTGTTTTACCTGGTGGCTCTTGGCTCTTAAATGTTTGTGATCAGCAGATAGTGGGAACCAATGATGGTGGCTTTGACCAACCTAAGATAAGAAACCATTTATCAACAGCAGTCAGCATTGACCAGTGGTTGACTAGTGGTCGCTGATGGAACTTGGCCAGTGCTGGCAGAGCTGTAAGTAGGGGTAATTCCAGAAATTAGGGCACCAAAAGTGGGACATTTTTATGTCCTTGTTACATCTGACCTTTGTTATTTGACATAGAAATATCTCTGGAATTGATTTCAAACTACATGTATTGCTATTTATTAGGCGGATAATTTGCATTAATTCATCACTCTTGGAAATTAGAAAATGTGTTCTGAACTTTAAGAAAACCATGTCAGTTGTGACAGGGACTCAAAAATAAAAGGACCCCTATTTTCTGGAATTACCCCGACAAATCTGAGGACACACTTTTTCTACGGGGCCAATGCACTTACACACGTCATAACTTGAGCATGCACGTGCACTTCGGTAAGTCACAACACCCTATAGGTCAGAGAGGAAGGTAATGCCTGTATACCCTGTGTGTGCAAACAGGATGGCCCCGCAGTGATGGCTTCTAATTCTTTTTGTTGGATTTGTCTACAGAGAGAGTAATGCCAGTTTCGTATTTTTGGCAACAAAATGGCTGTTTATTATGTGTGCAGTAAGGCATGGGAGCTGTTGTATACCAACTCTCCATGTGCACTGGCGCATACATTCACCAGTTTGTTTCCAACAATCTTGACACCTATGTCGCAACCTTCTCTATACATGGCTCCGGTGCTAGGTATGTTCAGGGCCCCCTAGAGACTGCACACACAAAAAAAAAACAAGCAAAAGTGTAAGAGGCACTCCCGCTTGAAATTGTCCTCTGGAATTCTGTGGCTGCATGTAAAAACAGAATTTTCACATGCAGTGATTTCACACATGAGAAAAAAGGGTTGGTGTTAAAGGCTCTGTAGCTGTTTTATTTGTAAACACACATTCCAGGAAGATGTCGGGCTACAAAATTGTGCACAAGCGGGAATCGGTTTTAGTCAGAAATTTCAACAACCTTGGTTTTTTTCTGTTACACTCATTTCCTTATTGTATGCTTTATAATAAATTATACAAAATGCTTTTTATCTCTTCATTTTTACTGGTAAACTGTTTTTAATATCAAAATTGCATTCACTGAAATAATGAAACAAAAAGGATTGGTTGGGTTTTTTTTAGACAAAAAAGCGTATTTGGAAGAATTTCTACTTAAAAGTATACACCTGACAGCAAAGTTTAGCAATATTACCAATTGTTACTGCGGCACACAGATTCCTATGGTTATTCATAAAAGTGGTTTCTTTCAACTCTGCTTGTGAGGCAGATTGTTCCTTCACCATCGCAAGACAACAAAAAATACTCAGTGACACAACTGCTCTAATGAATGCTTCCATCTTTCAGGTCACTCCTACAAGATTAGCTTTACCCTAGTCACAATCTTTGGCTACCACTCGGTAGCCAAATCTTCTGGTTTACACAATATTTTAACTGATTTTTACGAATGCGTTTTTTTTCTCGTGACACTGGTGGTTAAGGTTACCATTTGCCATCAAAGTAATCCAGATGTTTTGTGTGTTGAGACAAAGCAGCGCAGGTCTTACACCACTTCACTCCGGAATGGTCGGTCAGTGTAAGTGGCAGGGCCAATTGCGTTGCAAGAACCATGATCCTGTCACAAGGGCTCTTAGGCATTACTCCAATGGCAAATGGTCACAAGGAAGGCTACTCCTCCATTTTCTCTGTCCATTATGTTCCAGTCGAGAACTTTTAAGAGAACACCATGCTGAGGTTTTGTGTTCTTTAAATGTTAATTCAAACTAGATTCTGTTGTTAAAACGATTGTTAGTCAATACATTTTCAACAATCTTGGTAAATATGGTAATGAGTAAGTACTCCCACATTAGTTTCCACAATAAATCTTTACAAGATATCAATAAAAACAGCATTTAAGGTCGCTAGCAGCTATTTTTATAAAATTCAACTGATATACTTTGTCAGAAGTAATGCAGTGAATGTATTTGAAACTGGAAAAAGAAACAGAAGTATTTCTTCCTTGTACTAAAGCAGTGGTTATAATTTTTCTGATAGATTTGAGTAGTTAACATTTTTCTTCATCTAATGTAGTCCAGAGGACTGGACAGGAAAAGATGGCCACTTTTTAACAATTTAGATCTCCTTTCCTTATGGTAAACATGCAACCCTCAAAACAAGTCACGGCAAGTGACAAGCTACTGGCAGTAAAGAATATTACTCCCAACAATTAAAGCCGAGTTTTTTGTCACTTTATGAGCATTAACAATTCTCCAGAAGGAAAAACATTTTTCCATGGCATTAATTAGTCAATTAGCAACCACCAATCAAACACAAAATTCTGTTTAAAAAATGTACAGTTCCTTTGGATCTAGCAGTTTCATACAAACACGTAAATTCACATCTCTTTCCAAAGTTTTTTCTTAATGTCCTGAATCTGTGGAAACCGGTTTTTTTCCCACCCAAAAAAGAACTACACCAAAAATTTACATCTTCTCTTACTTTAGACAAGCTGATTGCAACCATAACTCTGACTCATGCTTGTCATTGCCTCAAAATCCCCTCAGTCCGCAAGTTGTGCCATTGACCAGTCTGCTAGTACAAACCAAATGATAAACACCTGTTCAAAGAAACTGCTACTTTCATCATCAATACCTGTAATTTTTGGCACAAAAATCATTAAAACATTTACAATAATGATGCATTCTTTACGTTTGTGCATATCCTTGTAGTACCTTTCACGTTCTGGTGATCATTAGTATAAACACGTTTAGTATTGCATATTGATAATTCTATCATTTAAAAAATGGGAGATGGGTGTTTACGGAGAAGTTAAGCATGATTTTAATTTTAAATTATTAAAAATGGAGACCAGCTTGGATTACAGAAATAAAAAAAAAGTTCATAACAACATTGTATATGTAAATACTGCTCCAACCTCTCAACACAACTGCAACACATCTGAAGCCATAAATGTTCCTGGCATGAGCCCAAATTTCCATTTTTTTGCTACAAATGTGAACACAATCACCGCCAAACAAACTTTGAGTTCTTCCCAACAACCTGTTGAGTCTGTTACGCCATTAAGAGAAAACCAACTTTTAACAAATATTTAAAATAAGCAGATTCTGTTCAGCTGTCATTATGAACCATATTTACACGTGGTCTATACAAACTTCTTGGTACCATACAGTGTATTCCTCTAGCAGAAAAAAGTATTCCTATGATATATACTTCTTGCGTACAAAATAAAAGTATTTTTTTAAGTAAATTAAGAAATCTTAAAGTGAGTTGATGATGCTACTTTAGGCAAAGGAAAGTGCAACGTCTGTTATTCACAAAATAATTTAGCTTCATACATCTACAGAAATCTGAGCTTATACATGTATGACAAGCTTATATGACATATGATAAATACATGCACACGAACCTCAAATTTTCAAATACAGTTTAACTTTATAGCGCATTTATCAAATATAAATGTACACAGAAATGCGAAAAAGGTTTCACTTGGGCAAAGGCGGGTTTGAATTTGTTAGATTTGGAAATACACCAAGGGTCATCCCAACCGGAGAAATAGTTCTTTGCACCTAACCCGGTTCCACGTTAACACGACCCAACCATACTCTGACGCACGATGGTGGATTGTTTGGACAAAGTGTCACACAAGAAAAAAGTTTCAAGATTTCACACACGAACACATACACAGCACCTGAGAGAACTGTTACAAAGTGCCAGAGGACGGGTGCTTTGCGGGGGTGGGGCTTAGCTTTGACAGGGGGTGGGTCTTGCCATGCTGCTGCTTTTTGCGGCTGGCCTTCGGCGACTGGCAATCCCTGCTGGTTGCTTTGTTGGCCTTTTCACCACTGTCTGGCTTCACACTACTGCTTGGCTTTACTGGGATACCGTCACTGGTGCCTGTCATGGTCATCTTCCCCACTTCCTTAGCACTGTCGAGGCTGCGTATTTCCACCGACAATGGTTCCTCCAGGTAAAACTTCAGAGGCACCGTGTCCTGCCGTGGCGTGACCAGGCGGGCGTATGCGCTCTTACGCCTCTCCTGTGTCTCCTCCATGGTCAACTCGCCCTTGGCCAGCTGGGACTGACTCTCGGGAGACGACTCCAGGGAACGTGTCCCTGTATCCGAGTACGGACGCATGCTGCGGATGCTGACTGGACGACTGGGGTCACTCCGTCGCATGACCACGGGAGAACCTTTCTCGTTTGACATCCGTGCGATGGAATTCACACGCCTGAGATTAAGACCAAGTTTAGCAATTCGCTCTCCGATACTCTCCACATTTAACTTCTCCTCTTTACCTACCTCACCTGGAAAAAGAAGAACCAAAATCTTGTGATAAAGGACGTTTGGTGGAACTTCTTGTCCAAGAAATCTGCATTTTAATACGAGGTTCTGCCGCTTAAATAATCTTGTAAGCACTTTTTACTCAATGCTGTATGAATAACTTGTGAGAAAAGCTCGCAAATTTACTCCAGTAGCACAAAATCACAAACTCCTGCTTACTTGACCTTGTAAGCACTTTTTACTCAATGCTGTATGAATAACTTGTGAGAAAAGCTCGCAAATTTACTCCAGTAGCACAAAATCACAAACTCCTGCTTACTTGACCACTTAAGCTCACCAAGGCTGACCCGTTAACTGATGCAGCAGCAGGCAATGCCCGTGACATTCAATCACACTTTGCAAATACTGCCCAAGCAAACGGCAGAACCCAATATAAAAAATGAGACAAAGGCAGAGCAGAAATGTAAATGTTCCAATGGAGCCATGAAAACTACTTGGTGAATATCTACAATGTATGCAGTCTGGCTTGCTGTCATTGTGTTTGCTTGAAACGGCACATAGAGCTTGCATGGACGATCAAAATAGGTCATTTTTTCCCATATTAAGTTGAATACAACGTTTAATGATCCTCTAAGGTGAAAACACTGAGGCGTTAGGTGATTCTGATGACGTCAGAGTGGCCATAATTGTGACTAACACAGTACACAAACCTATTTGTTCCATGTAATAATAAAAATGCAATAATAATAATAATAATACTCCAATAATGCAATGTCAAACAGAGATTATCTAGCGTTCTGTAATTGCCACTGTTTTCCTTCAAACTGTGGTGCTAGCAGAAGAGGATTTTTAACCCGACAATTTATTAATGATGTACAGCACCGTGGTGCCTCAGGGTGCAAGATCAAATGCTTGGAAACGGGAGTTACAGAAATGCATATTGCCCAAACAGATGTGTAACCAAACCAAATTACATATTAAGAAAAGCGAATTTTTGTCAGGTGTACCCCTTAAATATGATGAAGACTTTGTGGCAGTAATTACTCGGACTGCTCTTCTGTTCAACATGACAGAAAAAGCCACACAGCACACAATGTGATATCTACATGAATGATCTACTCACTACCATGGTCTACATGTACATCCTCCTCTACTTGGGGTACTTCTGTGACGGTTTCATCGGCCTCTGACGAACCTGAACTGGACGAGGTGGATGTCTGCTCGGTCATCTCTCTCAGTGAGGTGCTTTCTTCGGTGGTAACTCTCGCTTCAGCAGTGTCCTCGGTCATGATTGGGCTGGCTGGTTTAGTGGATTGGTCTGGCGGGGGAAAAAAGGGTGTAACACTGACCATGGTATCAATGTCCTTTTCTTAATCCTAGTTCTTGCCTTTTCTGGCAGATGCATTACAAAGAAGGGGAAATAACATTGATCAAAACTTTTAAAGGCTTTAAAGTCACGCCAATTCCTGAAGTGCCTTTCCTTTTCCTGACTTGTAACGATCTACACCAAAGCTTCATAAAGGTTGATGTTTTTAAATTCTCACCTGCTGCATCCACGGATGATGAAAGCCCCTCAAACTGCTTGGTGTGTTTGCGGACATCTCCAACCTTCCATGAGGAGATGCCTTCCTCAGGATAGGCAGAGTTGATCTCTGCTTCCTTTTGGTTCTCCTCTTCCATCTTGAGCTCTGGCTCCATCCCCACTGCTTCATCTTTGGTTGACTGCTCCTTCTGATCCACGCGTGCATGCTTGTTCTGGCTCCCGACTTCTTCAAACTTCCTCTTCCCATTTGAAGAACTGTCACGAATGATGACAACCATCTCTTCTGCTTTAGTCTTCTCGGGCATTTCTGGAGGTGTCTCGAAAGTGTCCTTCTTAATCACTGCTTCTTTTTTGGTTTCCAACTCCTCGGTTCGGCTTTGAGAGGAGAGCTGTTCAAAATCTATAGTCTGCCGCTTTACAGTTCCTGGCTCAAGCGGGATCTCTTCCCCAAAGAAGGTTTTGATGAAGGCTTCCTTTAAAGGGCTTCCACTGTGGACAGATTCCTCGGTTGATAGAGATTCTTGTGACCCAGAGTCCTTGACTGATTGGTCATCTGGTGAAGTAGAGCCCTTGGGGGCTAATCCAGTTGTTTCAATGACTTCAGTGCTTCTGGTATCTGGGGAAGACTTGCTCGGTGACAACGTAAGCTTAGTTGGAGAATCTTGCGGTGGGCTCCCACTTTCAAAGGTCAGGCTTCTCCTTTTCTCTGCCAATGACAGCGCTTCCTCATCTTCCTCAGCTTCAGTGACAGGGGTCTTCTGGGACAGCAGCTGCTCAGTTATCTTCTTCACCCGTCCTTTTTCAAGAGCTTGCAGCGTCGGGCTTGCATTGGTGGGTGATTCTTGCAGCAGACTGATGGCTGGGGACTTGGGGGATGACAAGTCACAGTCAACAGTCTCTGGCTTGCCACAGTCCTGAGGTTCGGCAAGTTTAGGCTGATTGGAAGCAGGAGTGTCAAGGCTCTCGCAAGTAGTACTATCAACGGTGGGTGATGTGGCAGTCTCTTGAGAAAACTTTTCCGATCTGGTCAGTGGAGGGCTCCCTTTCTCTGCTGATTCTGCCCTAAGTCTCTCCTCAATGTCTTGTTTTTGTTTCTGCACAGTGCCAGAGTTTACAGGGATCTCTGGCTCCAAAAACAAACCATCCACAGTACTGGCACTCTCCTCTTCACTTTTCACTTCCACCTTTTCGGCATCAGGGGCCAACTTGTTGTTCTCGAAGGATGTAACTCTTTGCTTGACTGTTCCTTCAACGGGAGGGATATCGTCAATTTGTGATGAGCTGTAACCAGTAGCACTGTTGTTATTTGTATTTAGTCCTGATTCTGAGCTGATTTCAGGAATGCCACCAGGAGGTGACACCTCCGTCTCCATGGCTTGTTCAGGTTGGCTCGGGGTACTAGTCATTTCAGGGATTCCTTCTTTGAAGCCGCTGGGTGATTCCCCTACTGATAGAAGCTCTTCAGTTGAGACTCGGTCAAGATGTAAAGATTCCAGTTGAGAATCAGCTAGTCCAGTCTCGATGTCCCCCACACCAGGCAAGGGTGCTGTGGGTTCCCTGTCTTCAATTTGGCCAAGCACGACCGGTTCTGTGGGCACGGTCAGCGTGGGACTCGTTGGGGTCAGTGATTCTGGGACAATGATCTGAATGTCCTGACAGTCGTCATCGAGCACCATGAAATCGACGTCAGCCGGACTGGTGCCCAAGTGGTCTGGCTTCTGGTGGCCTGAGAGACTCTGGACATTGCTTGGGAAGTGCACATCTGCAACCGAGTCTTTGGGTGACCAGGAGCGGCGCCTGGCATGGCCCGTCTGTGGTCCTAGGCTGAGTGAGAGCCCCGCAGTGTTCCCTTGGTGAGTGAACTCGGACACCTTGGAGGTTCTGTCGGCTATGTCTTCCGTGCTGGAGGCAGACTCAATGGTTTCCTGGCTGCATTCTGCTGAGTTGGCAAGGGAGCTCTCCGACTTACTCCTCCACAGCTTGTTGTGTCTCTGCCGACTGCAAGAAGAAGGTAATGAAAAAAGAATAAATAAATTTGCTAACCAACACACATTAAGCCCCAAAGGTGATTTGGCCAAACTCCCAGCCAAAATGAACAGCAACAGCTGCCAAAAATGAGAAGTTTGATTGGTTTAATGAGGTCCAACAGGTCTACCATCCTAAGGCCAAATTGCCTCGGAGCCTAAAACTGGCAGCCACCAAGATGAAACTTTCTACTCTTAGGTCTTGCTCTCATTGTCTGAAAATCAACAGCTGATGTTGGTGTGGTTGACAGGTTGACGTCCTAGTTCCTGAAAGTCCTGCAGATATATATGTCTGCAGTGCCTTGCTGCACCTAGCGGATTAAGGATAATGACATTACACCACCTCAAGTGTATTCCAAGGCACACTATGACAGTTGGAAACAGTAGACAGTTGTGGGTCTTAAATTGCTCAGTGCAAATCCTCTGCGGGTCAACATTCTTTGACAAGGCAGTGACACAAAGACGAGGCAAAAACTAGCAGTTGGGACCTTGGGATAGTACCTGGCATCTAGCATCCCTTCATAGACCTGAAGCTGTTGCAGGAAGCCTGTGTTCGGGTTCACACACTTGCGTTTCCTGGCCACGAAGCTCCTGGCTTTCTCCAGGGGCCAGTTGTACTCCTTCATTGCATAGGCAATCACCTGCAACAAAGCCAGCAGGAGAGAAACTACCAGAATGCAATCTGTTTCCTGATTACAGCGACGAGTAATGAAACTGGTTCAGGGCTGTAGCCCAGTCCACAAGCAAGTCCATGCAAGCCCATCAAACGTTATCCAGTCTCAAACCATGCTTATCAAGTGAGCTGTGATAAAAGCATTACTTTGTCATTGTTCACCATCCGACCACCTGTGGCTGGTCTTACGATGGTCTTGATTACAGCCCTAGACTGATTCATACAACATCTGGACAAACTGAAAACAGAAACCAAGAGTCTGTAGCACTTGTAGAAGGATGAATTAATTCCAGCTGTTTTGACACAGCTTCTGTGCATATTCTGAGTACACCTCACTTGGGACAATTTTGGAAAAACAGCAAATCAACATTGCCCGATTGGTTTTTATAACGGTTATCTAGTCCTTCATAGGACAAGTATTCAATCAATCCAGCTGGGAAGGTCTGAAGGCTCTATGTGGTCTATAGAGAGGACATCGCTGACAGTAGATGGCAGACCACTGATGCTTTCATGTAACAGAGAAAAGTATTATAGACGGCGAGAATGATAATGGTACATTGAGAAAAAGGCACAAAGGAGAGGGTGGGTGGAAGGACTTACAGTGGCAGCCGAGCGACTGATTCCCATCTTACAATGTACCAAAGCCTTGGACCCTTTCTCTCTGAAATTGGGAAGAGAAAAACAGTCAAATGATAAGAAAAATCACTGCAAAAGGTATCATCACTTCCACTAGTACAATAATTGATTTTCATTTCTCAGCTGCAGTGAACCAACTGACTGCTTGTCACCTATTTCGTTTTATTCTGAAAGACGATTCATCTTCCCAAAGTCTACAGGTTTAAAAGACGTGCGCCATTTACAGCCTCTGATCATGGGTTCTCCATTTTAACTTATTTGGCAACTGTTCATAATTATTAAATAGTTCCCCCTGAAATAATTTCTTTTTGCAATGTACAACAACACAATTTACATTTTAATAATTGGGTGCTTTGAATTAACTGTTTAGTAAAGAGGTTTATCACATCCAGGCGGAAAGCTTAGCTGAAAACAAAAACCCTATTCTCAAGTTCTCAGAAATTTCTAACATGGATAGAATTGACATGTTGTAATCATGTAAATGAACAAATCACATCACTTCTGATTGTCATGGTTACTGTACTTACTTTGCCTTGGATAGAAACTTGTAGGTTTCGTCCCAATACTTGAGCAGCTCTGAGCTCTCAATATCGTACAGTCGCACGTTGTGATAGATGAAGCGATTGGGGTAGAAATTGTCAATCTCCATGGTTACGTTGAGGATGTACCCAACACTACAAATGATTAGACACAGATCCAAAGTTAAGAGTAAGTAACGTGGATGTCAGCTTTATCTTTGAAAACTTAATTTCCCTAATTGTGTTGTTGTCATTGAAATGTAAGTTAGCAGTCACAGACTACTACAGAAGAACACGGCATTACTGAGTGAAGTCTGAGATTCAGTTTGAATGACCTCTGAACAATCAACTGCTGGGCTTTCATATTAAAATTCAACATATGGAAATTAGCTTCATAAAGTTTGAGGGTCATTTTTTGCTTAAAATCATGAAAATATATGTATGCATCAAATGACTGTGACAATGGAAGTGATGTGATCTATACATCGAACAAATTCACTAGTTCTTGCTATGAGGAAAATTGAGGATAAGAGACATGGGTCATACCCATTTGCTTCCAGTTCTTCCAAATGAGATGCATTCCACTCGGATCCCTATGAAATAACAGAACAATGAGATCATTGTGCCACTGTCAATAAGCCTTTTGCAAGTTCAATAAAATCTGGTACATTGAGTTATCTGATTGCTCATAAACATAGCAATTTGAATTCCCCAGACTAAAGACACTGTTTTGCTATACCTCGTGATTCAGGGCAAGCTTTGGCATGGCGACCACCATCTCTGGAATGGACTGGTTCCTTTGTGCCCTTCTTATCAATTGAGAACAGTGTATTGGGGCAAGGCATCTCTTATGTAACTAAGCAAAAGCTTGCCACGAATCACAAGGTATAGCAACAGTGTCTTTGGTATGGAGAATTCAAATTTATGTTCATATGAATGTAAAGAACTCAGTACACCAGATTTTGTTCAAAATTAACTTGCAAAAGGCTATTTGCAAAAAAAATATTCACTCTCAAGTTATCTCTACCCTGTGTAGATAAAACCTTTTATTATGAGAGAAAAAAATTCCAACTTGAAAGTGCAAGCAGTCAAGTCCTTGTTGCTGGGTGCTAAATGAATTTATCTTTAGCAATGTCTGGAGTTGATGGAGACTTTCTCTGATGAAAAAGATTCTGACAATGAGGTAAAACAGTATTTATGTTGGTAGTTATTCCTGTTTGTTGTACTGAAAATGCAGTGTTTTGTATTCTAAGGACACCACAGCAAATCGGAGGGGTGAGTTTGCATAGAACAGAAAAGGATGACCTCGGATAAGGCCCCTGGATAAAGTCAGACACTCACCAGGTAGATGTGATCAAAGATTAGCGTGGCCGAATCCATTTGCCTCATGTAGGTGATCAACTGCTCGTCAAGGTAGTGTCTGTACTCATTCAAGCTCTTCCCAAGGTCGTCTTCCATCTTCAGTCGGACCTGCGTTTAGGTGATGAGAAGAGACAGGATTTATTTCGCGATTACGTTCACAACCTGATCAGAGTTGGGCCAGGAGTATATAATTGATAGGGTAACCAGCAAGTGTTGACCGTAATGTGCCATGCAACAGTGGTTCCATTCAAGGTTATTTTAGGTTGTATGCTTTCAGAATAATGCAGGACCAGATAGGGAATAGGATTACAAATATTTTCTCTCCCAAAAAAGGACAGGAAGTACACAGTTTGCAAGGTGAGAAACTCTCAGGCTTCTGATTTCATACCCACTTGTCTTTGACTCGGCAGTTGAAGTCACCTACCTCCCTGCTTGTGATGTTATCCAAGTCTGCTGAGGCCATGATATCTTTGATCTTCAAGAAGATGAGCTGTTCGGTCAACTCACGGTCACTAGGATGGTAATGGCCACTGCATTAAAAGATAACAATGGACGGATCGTTAGCTGAACTTGTCGATGTGGCAAAAGTCCACTCTGAAGAGTTCAATTAAATTGGCGGCTGACGTTACAGAAAAAAGCAAAAATGGATTTGGGCTGAGCTTAAGGGTTCCAGATCAGCAATGGCAGCGGAACGAGTTTCAAAATGGTGGCCAGTTGTGACATCACCAGGCATCAGCCATTAAAAGGCTGATCCATTAAGTCCCATCCCATTATAGGATCTGCAAAAAGTGGGGGGTGCCCCCAGTCGAAAGAGTGGCGCGGGATAACTCCCCCCCCCAGCCAGTGCCCTGGGCATTCTACACTTGCAGAACAGAAACCTAACTATGGAGACAGAGTCAAAGCTGAGCTTTTGAAAAAAGAAAAGCCGACGATTTGATAAGAGACTTACTCTTCCGTGTAGGTGGGGGTGAAGGCGTGGGGCTTGGTGACCTCCAGCTCGGGCATGAGGTCCCACTCCTTGATACGAGATGGGCTGGAGTTGACCCGGGACTCGTAGTAGCTGATCCAGGTCAGGTTCAGGCCCCCAGGGAAGTAGTTGTAGGTCTGAGCGGAGGAGATGGCCGAGTGAATGGCTTGCATGGCAGACCTGCAATGAAACCGTGCAGGGAAGCATCCTGTCACCAATTACAAAGTATTTCAATTTGGATTCAGAAAGAAACAGAATTTAATCCAGCTCAACATTTATCAGCAGAAATAGGCAAGAAATTGAGAAGATTTACAGATTAATGACATACCACCTTTCTGAGCATGTTTTATGGCGGTGGTATTTTATGCTTGTTCATTTCTCAGTACGCTGAAGCTTGGGCTCTCTAGTCCTTGGTTTGAATAAATTATACTGCAGCGCAGGGTGTGAGATTTGACAGGACTTTTCTGATTTAAGTATTTTACAAACAAGTCTCTTTTAATATCTGGTAAATCTTGAGTTTACCATCAAGATGTTCTAATATGTTTAAAGGTTGATAAAGAACACAAGAAATAAGTAG